AATCGAGGTCAAGAATATATCGGACGATCGTTTGCTCTTCGGTCGCGGTGAGCTTCTGGCAATTAGGCTGGCAATTGGCTCGGGCGAGGGTTTGGTTGTATCTTCGCTGAAGCTTTCGTGGGCACGCGTTATACGCGGCGGCGGCGCGTCGTAGGCTTCAAAATTGGCCTTCCTTATAGGCTTGAAGTGCAAGATCTATTCGGCCTTCTTGTTGAGCTTTATTATCTTGTTGTTGTTGAGACATTTCGTGTTGTAGTAGAGGTAATAGCTGCCAAGAAATTCTGCGACACTCGATGGTGTGCGACACTCGATGATGCTTTACGTTATTAAAAAAATATATTATTATAAAAAAAATTATAATATATAAAAAAATATATTATTTATTTATAAATTATATTATTAATAATTAATATAAAAAATTTATAATTAATAAATTTATTATAAAAAAAATTTATATTTATTAAAATAAATAAAATTAAAATATATATTTTATTATTTATTTTATTTATTTTTCTCTTTATATTTTTAATAAAAATTAGATTTATATAATTATTAATATAATAATTAATATTATAGTTTTACCTATATTCCTATATCTATATAATCGTTATAATCACGTGCTAATGTTGTACTCTTACCAATATGGATATCTTATAATTGTTAAGACCAACTTGACACTTATATTCTCTACGGATTCCCCGCATAATTTCTTTCTATCTCATGAAAGGCCATCAAGCATGATAAAGTGTCCTTCCGTCAGCTAATATAAAGCGTAATCCATCCAGAGCAGCTACGTCGCTCAATTTAATTGACAACCATGGCCCTCAACTTAGAGAAACAATTAGTTTTTGTAAGTCTATACATACAACTCACGCCGGACATGTGATACTAACACTAATAGTATGGATCGTATCACCATAATCCTGTTCGTATAGCTAACCTTCGCTCATCGTCCAACAAACTCACACTCCCTTGCGACTTAGGTCAACGTTGGTATTCATATGTTATTCGTGCCTATGATATTGATGACTGGTATCCTTCTCGTACGATCTATGCTTAAGAATTTAGTGCCCTATAAATGCTAAGTCGACCAATAGGGTTCTAATCTACCGGAGATACCTTTTCCCTCCGCTCTTACTATACCAAACCTCCCACCGAATATAGGGACCATCGTAGCAGCACATTACGCTATCCTCTACATTCTTATGGAACCTGTTGCAGGAGCAATGCTCGCTCCGCTGATCATAGGAGGGACAGCATACGCGAATTATCTAAGAATGACTTACGGAGTAACGGCGAATTACTGGGCGGCAGGCATTAATATCGCCAGCTGGATAGCACAGTTCATTGGGCATGGAAAGTACGAGGGGATGGCACCAGCTCTTTTGGATAATCTTGTTCAAGCACTCTTCTTGGCTCCATTCTTCGTTTGGTTTGAACTCCTGTTTGCCTTAGGATACCGTCCCGAGCTCAAAGCCAGACTGGACAACGCAGTGGAGCAGGAGTTGAAGAAATTGAAGGACTCCAAAAAACAAGCTTCTCAAACTAATGGGATTGCAGATGGGAACAAGAAGACCTCTTAGAGAACCATTTCTAGATCATTCTTGAATCGGTATCAAGTTTTTATTTTAGCGTATATCGCTCGTTTTTATCCGCGACTCAATGAATAATTGATGGATAGCAACTCCTTGAAAGAACTGGAGATTCAGAGCTAGAGTTTGTTTACGTATACGGAGAGATACGAGGCTTAGAACACCCCTTGGAAAGTCGATGTTTGTAGGAATTAAAAGATCAGCTTGTTGGGACTGTTATTATTCTATTGCCTCCTTGGGTGGACTTCTTCTTGCGAGTAAACTCTTCAAACTGGTAAATTTTTAAGGAACAAAAGTTCGAGTAGTTGAGTATTGTAATCATATACAATAATGATGAATTTCAAGATGGCTTGCCGGAACACGTGATCTAAAAGCACGTGCAAAGTCTGGGCGGCTTTCGCTCGAGAGGAGAGCAACATCCACGGCCCTCTCATTACCTCGAGCTTCATTCCATCCATCCAACCCTCAATCTCCGCTCTTTTCGTTCTGCTTCAATTGCAATTGGTAGCAGAGCTATCTAATCTTGCATCCTGAGCAGACTCACAATGATCAGGAACGCCGTTCGTCAGTCTACCCGCATCGTCGGGGCAGTCTCTGCTACCAGCAGAGTTGCATCGGTAAGTTCATCAATGCTCCTCCGAAAGCTTCCATTGTGATTTCCGGACTTCTCTCAAGCATCAATTCCAAGCTTAATATGGTTATACACATACTGCTTGCTGTTTTGGAGCTGTTGTTGGCCATCGCAATTGTTACGGGAGCTCTTCTACAACCGAGCGCTGACGGATTTTTCTCCCTCAACAGAGCCGAGCCACTCCCGTCATCTATAACGCATCATCAAAGCAAGTTCGAAGCTATGCCTCCGATACTAAGGCCGCTCCCACCGAAGTCTCATCTATTCTAGAACAGAGAATTCGTGGTGTGCAAGAGGAGGCCAGCTTGGCCGAGACCGGTCGTGTCCTTTCCGTCGGGTATGCTTCAGCTCGATATATGATGAACTGTGGTTACCTTTAACATAAACTGATATGCGATTGTTAGTGACGGTATTGCTCGTGTACATGGTATGGCCAATGTCCAAGCCGAGGAACTAGTCGAGTATGTCACACAGCATAACTTTTGTTTGATTAAACGGGAATTGACTCTTTCTTAGGTTTTCCTCCGGCGTCAAGGGCATGTGCATGAACTTGGAAGCAGGTCAAGTCGGTGTTGTGCTTTTCGGTTCCGATCGATTGGTCAAGGAGGGCGAGACTGTCAAGCGAACTGGAGAAATCGTAAGGCTCAAGATGTGGTTTCGGTGCTAAAAGCCCTAAGTACTAACACGGCAAATTAGGTTGACGTTCCAGTCGGTGAGGCTCTGCTTGGTCGTGTCGTAGATGCTCTCGGAAACCCAATCGATGGAAAGGGTCCCGTCAAGACCACCGAAAAGCGCCGTGCTCAACTCAAGGCCCCTGGTATTTTACCCCGTCGTTCCGTCAATCAGCCCGTGCAGACTGGCTTGAAGTCTGTCGATGCTATGGTTCCCATCGGTCGTGGTCAACGTGAGTTGATCATTGGTGATCGTCAAACCGGAAAGACTGCCGTCGCCCTCGATGCCATGCTTAACCAGAAGCGATGGAACTCCGGCAACGATGAGACCAAGAAGCTTTACTGCATCTACGTTGCCGTTGGTCAAAAGCGTTCTACCGTTGCTCAGCTCGTCAAGACTCTTGAGGAGAACGATGCTATGAAGTATACCGTCATTGTCGCCGCTACAGCTTCTGAGGCTGCTCCTCTACAGTACATTGCTCCTTTCACTGGTTGCTCCATGGGCGAATGGTTCCGTGACAATGGCAAGCACGCAGTGATCATCTATGATGATCTGTCCAAGCAAGCCGTTGCTTACCGTCAAATGTCTCTGTTGCTCCGTCGTCCACCAGGGCGTGAGGCTTACCCCGGCGAGTATGTCTTGAACCTTCCATAGATAGAACCAATTCCTGTTTTTCGCATACTAATCTACATCTAGTGTCTTCTACCTCCATTCCCGTCTTCTCGAACGTGCCGCTAAGATGAACGACAAGCACGGTGGTGGTTCCCTTACCGCTTTGCCTATTATCGAGACCCAGGGTGGTGACGTGTCTGCCTACATTCCCACTAACGTCATTTCCATTACTGATGGTCAAATCTTCTTGGAAGCTGAATTGTTCTACAAGGGTGTACGTCCAGCCATCAACGTCGGTCTCTCCGTGTCTCGTGTCGGTTCTGCTGCCCAGGTCAAGGCCATGAAGCAGGTTGCTGGCAGTTTGAAACTCTTCTTGGCTCAATACCGTGAGGTCGCCGCTTTTGCTCAATTCGGTTCCGATTTGGATGCTGCTACCAAGCAAACATTGAACCGTGGTGAACGTTTGACCGAACTTCTCAAGCAGAAGCAGTACTCTCCTATGGCTGTCAACGAGATGGTACCCCTTATCTACGCCGGTGTCAACGGTCATCTTGACAACGTCCCTGTGAACAAGATCCTCCAGTGGGAGTCAGACTTCATCGCTCACCTTAGAAATAACGAGAGCGGGCTCCTTGAGCAGATTGAGCGTGAAGGTGCGCTTAGCAAAGATTTAGATGCCAAGTTGAAAGATGTAGTACAAAGTTTCACCAAGAGCTTCTCATAGACAGCGTGAAGTGGAGTGCGTCTCCTCGATTTCTAGATAATCCGAAGATGTACTGATAGTTCGTGCTAGATGTATAATAAAGCTCTGCGTCTCTCAAACCGACCGCGTATCTTGTTCAGTCTTGATCCTCGGTTACAGTGTACACCTCAAAAGACCTCCCTCTGCGTCCCTTTTCATTTCCTTTAGGCATCTCTGTCCATAAATCTCGCTCTCCTATTTTTACGGCTACAAAAGATGGAATAGAGTCGAAGAGAAACTCTTTTGTATGTAGCTGCAATTTCACCTTTATCCTTCATGAACTGTGCAACTGTGACCACTCTGATTTTGTAGCCCTATCTCCTACAGTGATTTCCAGTTTACTCGATTATTGACACGTTGCTGTTCATGATATCGATATCTGTCAGACTGCCACCTATTATGTAAGTCATCTACTACACTACTCAAAAACACATCATCCAGTACCAGTATGCATCTCCTTAAAGGTTGACTATGAGCGGCAGGTAGCAGATCTCAACTTCAGACGGCCGCCACTGCGGTACAGATATTCTTTCTCTCCTTACGTCTAGCTTACAATTTACCCCTTTAACTACCATCCCCGAAAAAAATTCACTTTACTCAAAAGGCACGAATCGCCACCATCTGCCTACACCTCCTAGTCTCATAAACCAAATCATCAATCTCAACACCAGTATAATCCCCCGTGCCCTCAATCGTCGCGCTCACGACCTCCAAGCTCCGCAGATCCGTCCACTGCGGAGGGAAACTGACGCCTAGCATCTCGAAGCGCGGCTGCGTGTTGTCGAGCGCTGGAAAAGTGACGGTGAGTTGCATCCAGGTCGCGCCGTCGACGCGCAGACCCCGGAATACGACGGTGCAGTCGGGTTGTGGGTAGCCTTGCACGCAGGCTAGACTCAGGGATCGGAGGTTGAAGCTGGAGTTGGGAGATGCGGTGATGAGACGGGGGGAGGCGGAGGAGTAGGAGTGTGCGACGTTCAGGCCGGAGGTGGGGCGGATGAAGCCGTCGTCTTGGTCGACTGGGGGTGTTAGGGGAGATTGGGGGAGGGGGGTAGGGGG